TTATATACATTCTTAATATTCCTGTATATTTCTAAAATTCCTTTAAACATAGTTGTATACTTAACAGAGATGCCAGCTAACATGCAATATCAAAACACTGATCTTAATGATTAAAGTGTGTTTCATCTGTTGCACTTCCTTGTGTTATTATGCCTTTGTTGGTAATCTTAATAGTTCTAGTGAATTTGCATTCCCATTACCAACACTAGAATGCTAACACTGTATAATTTATTTGTTTGGGTTTTGTAGGTGGAGGACACAGGAAGATATACATGTCTGGCATCCAGTCCTGCAGGGGATGATGATAAAGAATATCTAGTGAGAGTACATGGTAAATTCTGTGATCTGTGTTTGATCCACACACAAACCTCGTTAGAAACTACATTAGAGAAGATCAGGACATTTCATAGCAGCTCATATGTCTATAAACTAAAAAATATATGTTTCAAAAATTGTATTGCTAATAACTTATGTGCTCTTTGGGGTGTAGTTCAGTGAAATTTTCTGTTATTCATCTTGTTTTCATATAAACAATTCAAATTTGTGGATTTAAAGTAAACAAATATGAATTACAATAGGGAAGATAACAAAAATAATTCTATTCTTACCACACAAGGATGCAATGTTTTTCATGTGAACATTTTATTGCAAAAATGTGGCCATAGTTAGACATACTTGTATATATCTCTAGTCCCAGCTTCTAGGAAAGTTGAGTGCAAAGACTGCTTAAGCCTAGAGTTTGCAACTGGCTGTGGAAACATAGGATGATCCTAAATACCAAATACAAAAAAGTGAGAATAGAGAACAGAGTTTGAATTTAATTTGCTTTATGTCTCACTTAATGGTTTGATGAACACTCTTATGTCAATAAATATATTTTGTAGCATCATTTTTAGGATTGAATTATGCCCTCTATTGTATAGCACCATTTTTAGGATTGAATTTTGGCCTCTATCTTATTCCTTGCTGGTGGATATTTAGGCAGTTTCTGACGTTTTATGTGTACTTTGTAATTTTTCTGCAGTACACTTATTTGTTTACCCATGAATGCATGCCTACATATACACTTTTAAGGATTTTGGAAAACATGGCCTTATTACTTTCCAGAAAGTTTGTATTGAGACACTTTTGAATATTACTTTTATATATAAATTAAAACATTCTTCATGGGGAGGATAGTTTGAAAACTAAACAGATCTTCATTTAATTTTCAGAGCCTAAATGACTATGCATGCAGATTATCTGGAAATGAAGTGCTCTGCTATCCATATTCAAAATTTAGGCCTACTAAGGAAATCCAAAATGATTTACTAAGAAATATATCTGTATCCATCAATAAAATGGATACATCGCTATGTGTCATGGTGAACAGTTCCTGATTTGATAATTTTTAATACTCAGGGGAAAGTATTATCCAGCGTAGATGCTGGATACAACGCTATGTGTCATGGTGAACAGTTCCTGATTTGATAATTTTTAATACTCAGGGGAAAGTATTATCCAGTGTAGATGCTGACTGAAGGACACCTGTGCGCTTCTATTTTCTTATCACCTGTCAAATGGTGGTAATGATGTGGTTATCTTATTATTCATGTCATTGTTGGGAATATTTCATTATTTAATTGATTTAATTAATTAATTTAATTAAAGTCTTCATTATTTAATTGATAAAGTGATAAATTAAAGATCCAGTTCATTATTTTTATTTCAGAAATTGTATTTTTCAATTTATATACCAATCCCAGTTCCTCCTCCCTCCCCTTCTCCTGTCCCCCCAATCCCCCCTTTCCCACCTCCATCCACTCCTCAGAGCCAGTAAGGCCTTCCTTGGAGAGTCAACAAAGCCTGGTATTCCAAGTTAAAGCAGGACCAAGCCCCTCCCTTGTGTATCAAGGCTGAGCAAGGTATCCCACCATAGAGAATGGGCTCCAAAAAGCCAGTTCATACACCTGGGATAGGCCCTAGGGCCACTGCCAGCACTCCTCCCAATAGATCAAGCTACATGACTGTCACCCACATTCAAAGGGTCTAGTTTGGTCCCATGCAGATTCCCCAGATGTCAGTCTATAGTCCATGAGCTCCCACTAGCTTGAGTCAGCTGTTTGTCGTTTTTTCGACAAACAGTTGAAGTTCACACCTTATATCATACAGGGGACCTAGCTGTTGTTGGACACTGATAATTTACATCCAGTTTATCAAGTGCACTCAATGTTGTGTTCCTATGCTTAGTGCCTCCTAATATTGCTGGAATGGATGAGTCCCAGGACTTCACGGTGTTAAGGAACAGACAGGTGACATTGGAGTGCAAATCAGATGCAGTGCCTCCACCTGTGATCATGTGGCTCAAAAATGGGGAGCAGTTACAGGTAAACCCTCTTGCCTGACTCTACAGATTCATTTGTAAAAGGAAAAAGCAGCTGAGGAGCCATTGCTAAGCAATGAAAACCCAGTCACTTCCAGGTAGTAGTTAGTCACAGCTGCACAGGCAGGCACCGGGGCCTTCAGTGTGCTGCCTTCCTGTTCTAGTCTTTGCTTAGTAGTTGATTGGGTGAAAACACAGATATTTAGACTTATGACCCTTTGGAAACTGACACATGGTTTTATCTACTGAATCCTGTAGATGAAAGTGCGAATTAAACTCTCAGCTCTTTGTTTAACTAAAAGGCTAGAAGCCATCAAGGGCTCAAAAGAAGGTCTACCACGTCTCCAGGATGGAGCTGTTACTGAATTTCTCTGGTTGTAATTTGGACTCAGGGGTGACCTGTCATATCTATAATATCCCCACATACAGGTTTCAGGCACCAGAACCCTAAGGAACAGTCAAACATTCTCTAAAGCTCCCTACACTTAAGTTATGCCTACCGCCAATAGAGCATCAGCTCAGGATTCTCGCCGGCCATTTACAGCCAAATGAAAGCTAACTTTGAAGGCTTTCTTTATCCTAACTCTTTGAGTCACTAGCTTCCAGGAAAGGGCCTAGAGAGGGCTAAGAAAGGCTTGATTTGAATCATGCACCCTACCTTGCTTGTCCTTGTTTAATTGGAGGCACTGTACATTGACTTCACCAAAATCATTGAAATAGTGAAAGAAAGGTTAGCTATTACATAAGCAAAACTTGTCAGATGATAAGTCTATGGTTTTTTCTTATTAATTTTGTTGCTTATAAAATAGTTTTGTGGTTTGGAGAGAGATGACACAATGATTAAGAGTAAGAGTGCTAGGCCGGGCGGTGGTGGCGCACGCCTTTAATCAGCACTCGGGAGGCAGAGGCAGGCAGATCTCTGTGAGTTCGAGGCCAGGCTGGACCGACAGCCTCGAAAACAATACAGAGAAACCCTGTCTCGTAAAAACCAAAAAAAAAAAAAAAAAAAAAGAGTAAGAGTGCTTGTTACTCTCTCAGAAGACTTAAGTTCAGTTCCTAGTGCCTATGCTAAGTACCTTACAACCACCTGTAAGATTCAGTATCTCGCCTGTCCTCCACAAGTACACACACAGACACACACACACACACACACACACACACACACACACACAGAGAGAGAGAGAGAACCCTTTAAGATAAATAAAATAATGTTTTATTTTATTTCATTGACATTTTGATGATAGATTTTACTTTCTGAATCCAGGCAACACCTCGAGTAAGAATCCTGTCTGGAGGAAGATACTTGCAAATTAATAATGCAGACTTGGGAGACACAGCCAATTATACCTGTGTTGCCAGCAACATTGCAGGAAAGACTACAAGAGAATTTATTCTCACTGTAAATGGTAAGAAAAATTACTGTTTCACAGTTTGATTATTTTACCAATACTATTAGAATACATGATAATGTTTTTCAGGAGCTTAGTAAATGAGTCCTTGTGGTCATACTATTTAGTTGGAAATAGCACTTTGTTAGACTGATATTCGACCAATATTGCAAATTAATTCAACCGCAAAATGTAGATCTTGAGGTATATTACAGTATCATAGAGGATACACCAGACACACACACACACACACACACACACACACACACACACACACACGGACACAGACATTCTTACACAGGCACATTCTCACACAGGTACACATACACACCCATAGACACACACCACACGGACACATGCATACAAACACATGCACACACAGAAATATTAGTAGATCCAGATGGTTTGCGCTATCCAGCTGAGAGGAAACCATCATACTACATCTGCACATGACAAATAGCCCATCATTTAATTTGCCTTTATTGCTGGTGGCTTGATAGCTTACTGTACACTCACCGTGGTACAGTTTGCTTAAAACTGTCATAATACTGCAATTTTCTTAAATATACATATCTAGCTGCCAAAACCTGTCAATATTCAGGAAGATATGTAGATTTCCCTCCATAACAACCCCTCTGGATTTTAGCACAAGAAATTTTACAACATACTGGATGACCCACACAACTAATGTCTCTAATATTAAAATTAAAGTTCAGGTTTTGTATTCCCACATGAACTCTATGATTAATAAAATGTCTGTTCTGGGACTCTCTTGATTAGCCACAGATGTGCTTTTCATTAAAACATCCCACTTTCTGTTCTTTATTTAAAGTGAAGCTGTTCCAGCATTAACATTCTTGGACCATTATTTGGCTAAAGAGAAATAAGAAATATCAACTTTAATTTACATCAGACCGAAACTGAATTTTACTCACGCCTCTCTCACAGAGAGCCAGGTTTCACATACTGTGTCAAGGATTTAAATTCTCCCCATTTACTCTTTATTTTCAAATGCAGGATGTCTTGAGTAAGACTTCAAGAGTTAGACTTTAATTCTATTTATTCTAACCTAGATTAGTATAGACAAAGTTAATCACTTCATTCAAAGTTCTCCTTACATCTCCAGCTTCTTAGTGAAAGCTGTATTATTTATTTTAACTAGATTTGTGTTTGTTTCTTGTTCAGTTCCTCCAAGCATCAGTGGTGGTCCCCAGAGTCTTGTCACCCTCTTAAACAAGTCAATTGTTCTGGAATGCTCTGCTGAAGGTGTGCCAACTCCAAGGATAACATGGAGGAAGGATGGGGCTGTGCTAGCTGGGAACCATGCAAGGTAACAGTTCTAAAAGGGGAAGAAAAATACTATAATGAGAAATTGAAATGTGAGTCTTTCAAATATTTTTCTAATGCGTTGTTTTGTTCTTACTATGTTTAGAACTAATATTTTCATCCTAAGATGAGAATCAAATTCAGTATTTTGCCAGCATAATTCCCATGATCCATCAAGACCACAAGCCTGCTGATACACACCTTCACACTGCATCCTGCCCCTCCTCCAAGGGCACTGTAAATATTTGTCACCTGAATCAGAAAAGGATTCACAGTAGATTTCACCAAATCTTTAATGTTTATCTGAGTCACGGTGTAAATAATTGAAAAGGATTGATTCAGAAGGATGTATCTCTAATCTTTCGTATAGATACTCCATCATGGAAAATGGATTCCTTCATATTCAGTCAACACATGTCACAGATACAGGACGGTATTTGTGTATGGCGACCAATGTGGCTGGTACAGACCGTAGGCGAATAGATTTACAAGTCCATGGTAAATATACATTACAAAAAGCATCCAGTCTTTGAGTCAAATTTTTGTTGTTGTTTTGTGTTTTTGGTTGTTTGTTGTAACTGAAACTAGTGATCTCATGAAGACCTGCATGTCAAAGGCTAATTAAGATAATCCACTGCCTTATGAATAAGACAAGGCTGTGCTATCTCTTTACTGTGGCCTGTGTCACCATTGTACAGTTTGTGATACTTTACTGTGCCTTAGTTATATAGCAAGTTATTAATAACAAATTCCAGGTCATCAGACACACTTCAAATAATTTGCTATTTGCTGGGTGTTTTTCCCTCTTATTGCTTTAGTTCCTCCATCTATTGCTTTGGGTCCTACCAATGTAACAGTAACAGTGAATATCCAAACTACTCTGGCTTGTGAAGCTACTGGGATACCAAAACCATCCATCAGCTGGAGAAAAAATGGGCATCTTCTTAATGTGGATCAAAATCAAAATTCATACAGGTAAGATTAATTCATTTATTTTAAGTATTTGTTCATTTCCAGCTGACACAGTTGTATATAGTTATTGTACTGTTGGATATTTTAATGCAGTTGGATAAAATATCCAACAGTACAATAATTGGAATATCTGTCACCCCATACACATGCATTTCTCTGTGTTGAGAACATTAAAAATCGCTTCTAACATCTATTTTGAAATGTTTGGAAAGTTACTGTCAGATGTCCCCCTCTATGCGTCTGCGTTTCTGTGTCATTTTTATTGCACGTCCCTCTACCTCATCAATCTGTTAGCCCAAAGGTTTGTTTGTTTACCTTGGGATTTTTTTATCTTGGTAAATATTTAGTGATTGGCTCTTGGAAACAAGCTTGAAGTTCAGTTTTGGATTTTTTTTTGAGGCAGAGTTTCTCTGTGTAGCTTGAGCTGGTTCTGTAGGTAGAACAGGCTAGCCCTAAACTCGAACTCACAGAGATCCGCCTGCCTCTGCCTCCTGAGTGCTGAGATTAAAGGCATGCACCACTACTACCCATGCTCAACTTTTTATCTTCAATATATAATGAAAACAGAGCCTTCTCTGTGCCTGGCCACTTTCCCTTAGTATAATGCCACAAACATGATTCCATTGAACAATTCAACCTAGCATTTAGAAACATTTTTTAAATAACCAACATTTTAACCCCATCATTAGGGACAGTAAATATATAAAGAGTAAAGAACTGGCCAGTTGGTAGAAAATATTTCCCTTAATATGGATTTTGATTTCCAACCTTTTTTAAAATAAAATGTGCAACTTTTCAGTAAACAAGCCCTACGTGGCTGTTGGAGATGTACCAGTAACTTTGCTAGTGGATTTTAAGATGCTTTATATGAAGCATTTCAGATGGAGTCAGGGACACATCCTGTGCTACTAAATAGTGGCTGTCAATATATTTTTTCCACTAGGAGAAGTAGTATGATTATGATACAATCATTCAGAAAATGCAAGATTCAGTGTTCAAGCAATTCCTCCAGGCAGCTATTTCTTACTTACAAAAGGGTTAGATCCTTTATCATGTAAGTTAAATTTTGACATGCAAAATTTGCATCAGATAATGATGCTCACTTAACACACAGGGGGAACCTTTCTCTCAGCTAATCTGGGTCTCCTTACTCCTGCACAATACATGGAAGCTAGTGTATGGAATCTCACGTGTGGAATCTCTCTTCTAGGCTCCTTTCTTCGGGTTCCCTTGTAATTATTTCCCCCTCTGTGGATGACACTGCCAGTTATGAATGCACTGTGACGAGTGACGCCGGAGAGGACAAGAGAACAGTGGATCTCACTGTCCAAGGTAGAACCAGCTTGAAAGTAGATAGAATGACGCATACTGCTGTCTTTTCGCCACGCAGCAGTTCTATACTTACTTGACACTGAGCATCAGGAAGAAGGGGGACAAAATGGCTTCGGGAATGAATACGTAAGCAGTGGAATGGAAAAGTGCGGTTTTCTCTTGTTGCTGTTTTAGTTCCTCCCGCCATAGCTGATGAGCCTACGGATTTCCTGGTAACCAGACAGGCCCCAGCAGTCATGACCTGCACTGCTTCTGGAGTTCCAGTTCCCACAATTCACTGGACCAAAAATGGCATAAGACTGCTTCCTAGAGGCGACGGTTATCGGATTCTGTCCTCAGGTAACAAAAGCATGTTCTCCCAATTGTAGTAGTTAGCGACGGCAGCCTATTGTTGCAGCATAATGAAAATGAAAAAGAAAAAAAACTTTATTCCTAAAATGCAGTTATGATAAGAAGGGGAAGTAGATTTTAAAAGGGGGAGCTTAGAAATGAAAAATAACATAATATCTAAAACTGATCTTATAAGCATGGTCACATGTACACTAAACTGCAGACTCAGCAAATTCTCTCCTTACCTGAGAGTCACACTTTTTCCCCTGACCAAATAAAATGTTTATTTAAAAACCATGTAGTGCCAAAGATAGGATTCCACTATCTTGAGACTATCTGACTAAAATCAGCTCCTTTTTCATAAGGTTCATATAACTTAGCAAGAAATTTTGGGTACTAAATACTGAAATTTACTTTTTGACAACTGCAATAGCCATAATTTGTACAATGTGTAGTACTGAGGGGAAATTGACTTAACTGAATGATTTCAGGAGTGCGTGTATTGTTCTAAGAGAATTTGTGTGTTTCTTGAATGGGAAATAATAGGACATTCACTCTCAGCATATAGCTTCGGTTTTAAGGGAGAGTATTTTGGCTATCTCAGGTAGATAAGTAGATTTGTTAAAATTCCGTCATAAAACAGAAGGTGGTTACGCCAGTGTAATCACAAAGTTCTGAGTTAGAAACCAGTGCAGAAGTTTCTTGGGATGATAAGTAGAGTTGTCATAAAGTCGGCAGCTCCATCCAGGGTCTCTGTTCAAGGCCTGTGAAATCCTGTCTGCACACAGACTCCATTAGAGATGCTCATACAGTCATCCACAATAGCTGAGAGGGAGAGCCATTCAGATGCCCATCAGCTGGTGAACAGATACACAAAAGTGGTATTGTCCACAAACAGGAAACCTATTTGGCTGCAAAGAAAGGGACGCAATACTGCACTTGCTAAAATGAATGAATCTCAAAAACATGCTCGCAGTGAAATTAGTCAGTACCAAAAGCAAAAGGCCAGGGTGTGTGATTCCCTCTGGACAAAACACTTAGAAAAGGCAAACCTATAGGGGCAGCAGGTGGGTGGGTGTGGCCCAGAGTTGGGTTTGGAAGCTGGGAGTGGCCACAAATAGACGCTAGTCTTTTGAAAGATTTCGAAAATCAGGTTGCTTTATCATTAATTAACTCTGCAAATATTAGACCAAAAAAACTCATTAAATGGTATACTTTAAGGCCTTTCTGATAAAGTGTGTATCAATAAAGCTATTACTAATTAAGTACCTGTTGATGACTTCAGAAAACATGAGAAAGATGTAACTTACTGAATTAGGAAAATAAAGATACTCTTTGTATTAAAAACTTTTTCTGTGGGAGACAGAGACAGGAAGACAGTAAGCTCTAGGTCAGTTTGGGTTACAGTTGAGGTTTCAAGATAGTCTGGGCTCTGAGGCAAGACCCTGTCACAAAAACAAACAAGAAAAAGAAAAGCACTTTTTTTTCCTGTAGGAGCAATAGAGATATTTGCTACCCAACTAAACCATGCAGGAAGATACACTTGCCTTGCTCGAAATGCAGCTGGCTCAGCACACCGGCATGTAACCCTTCGTGTCCAAGGTATGGAAAGCTGTTTGCTCAATAAAGTCTGGCTGGGCACATAGAGCTCTTCTCTAGCATGCGCAAAGCCTGGGACTTACCCCAAGCACCATCCACTAAGTGTTTGCTGCTCTTGGAGGTAGGAATAATATTTATTTGTGTTTTTCATTGTCACATGTATTTTTAAAAGATGGTATTATATCATAGTAATATCTTGGGAATATGTAAACTGGAACATATTATTCAATAGATGAAAATTACACATGGATGACAAACCCCACAAAACAAAAAATATGTTTCTTCTTTGGTTTTTGTGATCTCTTCCAACATTGAGTTTTCCATCAGAGTTCTTTTACTACAGCTGCTATATAGCAAGGTCTAAAGAACGTAAGAAGGCCAGTCATAGCTTTTCTCTTGTACAATCAACTCATTGATGTTTGGGGATTGTGGATTTAGCACATTGAAGCTCGTCACTGTAACAGGCTATTTTGTTTTATAATAAGCAATGTTACTCTTTTTGTTGGTCGGCTTTTGCAGAGCCTCCAGTCATTCAGCCCCAGCCAAGTGAACTGGATGTCATTCTAAACAACCCCATCTTACTTCCATGTGAAGCAGCAGGAACACCCAGTCCATTCATTACTTGGCAAAAGGAAGGCATCAATGTCATTGCCTCAGGTACCTACCATGATTTCAATGGAGATCCATGCGGCATACGTAGTGCTTTGTGGTTCAGAAATCTGTATGACTTTTTATAAAGTGAAAATAACATTTCTTTTCACTCTGTTTTTTGGCTATGGTGTAGGCAAAAGCCTTGCTGTTCTTCCTAACGGCAGCTTGCAGATCTCCAGAGCTGTTCGAGAGGATGCTGGCACTTACATGTGTGTGGCTCAGAACCCTGCTGGTACAGCCTTGGGCAAAATCAAGTTGAATGTACAAGGTACTTGAGTAATTCATACGCTTTGAATTCAAAGACATGTGTAATGATACATACTTCTTGTTCATATGTAATTATGCTTGCTCCTCCCCACAGCTAGCTTCACTCTTAGCTTGTAGTATACTATCTTTTCCCCTAGAACCTTCCTATAGAAGATGGTGGAACATGTTCTTTTCACATCGTGTGAGAAAACGAGGACCTCCATCCTATGAAACCCTACTTGATGGAAATCAGATAAATTGAGTGATTTTGTTAGGTCAGTTGTTAGGGTACTACTCTTTGAGGTAAGGAGTGAAGTAATAGATGAGCAATAAATAAAGACAAGCCATCTTGCTAAGTATCTATGTTGGTATGACCAGACAGTAGTGAGCAAGGAGTGGACAGAAAAGCATGAAGGAGAGTAGACCCAAACAGAGCCACTGATAAATGACCAGACACACTATCATGGGGTTGGCTGCCTTCTCTGCACAATGGGAAGGGTGCAGCCAGGAATCCGGTTTGGTGTGGACTAGACATTTTTGGGTGCTGTGTAGATGATGCCTTTGAGGACAGGGAAGAGTGGAGCTGTAGAAGTGGTTCTCTTTGTCTAGTTGAGGGACCACGGTCTGAGAGAGGGGGCCAAGCTTTGAGCTACAAGAGAGTTACGTGAGATTATGGATTACAGATGTCTTTGAAGGTGTAAAAGCCAAGACTGCTGATGCATTTGAAGATTAGAAGAAGAGGTTTGTGTTCGCTGAGCTTCAGGTTAGAGCTTGAAGGACTAGAAGTGCCATGAGGGAACACTAGGAGGAAGAAGCCATGGTTTCTGCTGAATCACCTTGAACGTAGGAAACTTTTAAAAATCTTGATGCAAATATCAGCTGGAGCATTGACTGTGTATTAGAGTTCAGGGCAGGTGTGTAGTGTAAGATAAAAGCTTGCATACAGTCAGTGTTAAATCCAGAGAGTAGATGTGGTTCCCTGAGGAGAGAGCAGGGGCAGAGAAGAAGGCTAAGGACAAAGTCCTGGCACAGTGCATAGCTTTGAACTCTGATAATGGAGACTACACAGGGGAGGCAGAGGAAACCTGGTTGGAGGACGGAGGACAATAATGTTTAAGAAGAGAGTCGTTTGGGATGCACTGTAGTCACAAATAACTAGGAGTCAAAATCGTTCTTTAGTTTCAGCAACATTGTGGTCATAAAAATGAAGCTTCAGATTTGAATTTTCTTCACTAAGTGGCTCAAATGGCTGAACAATGAAGAGACGAAGACACATTAAATATCAGATAGTATCTAATCATTCCATAAACAGAGAGAGGTAACTGTAGACATCGGAGGCTCAGGAGATTCTGGATAGGGTTGTCCTTGCAAATAGAGTGTGCTATGGGAAGCACACATTCAACCAGGTGACGCTAGGTGCTATACGTAATCTTAGGACTGACATTCGTAAGTATTTTGAGTCTTTTTATGGTGAATGGCTTAAGTCTTATTAGAGAATCCTAATGGGGTTACTGAAATGGGAAAAATGTCTATATAGTTGTTTTCTGGAATCCATTTGTCTGTGCATTCATTTGTAAATACTGTGTTGGGGCATCATGATAAGCTCTCTGGTAAATGCACGGGTGAAAATATCTTTGAGCATTGTAGTATTTCACAATGCCTGAAGGAGTCCATTTTAGAAGTTTAAATACCCAAAGTGAATCTAGAAAGTTTGTCTAAATACTTCTCTAGACCCTCATAACTCTCTGAAACACTGTTCTCATGAGACCCTTGCAAACACTCATGAATATATGTGTATCTCATTTAAAATCGACTACTGCTTACATTTGTTAATGTATAAAGACCTGTTTTCTGAAATAAGCTCATGAATTTTAATATTCCAGACAAAACCAAACTACAGCGTTAGGTTCTGACAGTCTAGAAGATGTGGGGCTTTGTTTCCTTGAAATGTTACTTTATTGCAGCAGGGCTAAGGGAGGCGACCTCTACATTCAGTTTGTACCTTCTGTCATTTAGTTCCTCCAGCTATTAGTTCTCATCAGAAGGAGTATGTTGTTGCTGTGGACAAACCTGTCTCTCTGCTGTGTGAGGCAGAGGGCTTCCCAACCCCTGACATTACCTGGCATAAAGATGGACACGCACTTACTGAATCCATCCGTCAGCGCATCCTGAACTCAGGCGCTCTGCAGATAGCATTTGCCCAGCCTGCTGACACTGGTCGGTACACATGCATGGCAGCTAATGCAGCGGGTTCCAGCAGCATGAGCACCACACTCACTGTCCATGGTAGGTTGTTGAACATGATTTCTTTCCATCTGCTGTGTCACTGTGGCAACAAGAAAAGATCACCGAGTGTGATGGGTGTCAGAGTCACAGTGCGTGTGGAGAAGTGTGCCTGTGTGCTTCACTTTCAAGTCTGTGTACCCAACTTGTGTTTGCTTATGTGGGCACACATCTGTGTGAGAGATGACATCAGCATGTCCAGGCAAATAAGTGTATGACTGACACCCCCTTCATACTGTGACTGTTGGGGTTGTCTGGCTTATGAGGTGACCATGTGCGTTCTGTGACTGTTGGAGTTGTGTGGCTTATGTGGTGACCATATGCGTTCTGTGGCTCTTCTGTTACACTTCTTGAAGCTTCAAGTCATTCTGGCTCAAAAATAATAAGCATATGACCTAGATAATCTATGCAGTTTGAACCTCATAAGAACTAAAGATTCATTTGATTCATTATTGTAAAATACTGCAACATTCATCTGTACATTTTTTCTTTTCTTTGTATTAAGATATATAACAAAATATCTAAAAATGAGCATTAATGAGCTGGAGAGATGACTCAGTCATTAAAAGCACCAGCTGCTCTTCTAGAGGACCCCAGTCCAATTCCCAGCACCCACATAGCAATTCAAAGAAGTCTGTGAAGCCAGTTCAGGGGATCCAATGCCTTCTTCTGGCCTCCATGGGCACTAAGCATAAATGTGATGTATAGACATACGTGCAGTCAAAATACTCTGTGTTCATAAAATAATCTTTAATGTATATTTTAAGAGTAAAGATAAATAAAAGCATTAAAATGTTAGTTGAATATTGTATATTTCAAGACTAATGATAGAATCTTTATTAGTGTAACTGGTAGAAAACAATAGCAAATTAAGCTTTCTCCAACTACTATTTTATGGAGTATCTTTTTTTTTTAATAAGTGGCTTTTGCTTTCTACTTTTTAAAAAATTTGTAAAATCTTTATTTTTCAAGAGAATCTGACTTTGTCTCAACTTCATAGCAAGAATGATTATTTCAAATAGAATTCTTTTTATTTAAATAAGTAATGCACTCAAGTTAAAAATAAAAAAAGTCGTTTGTGAGTTTTCCAAATAACCTTCTTGCTTTTAGTTAATCTATTGAACTAGTGTTTCTACATTTAATCTTTAAGCAAAAAAGTTGTTCAAGCAAAAAAAGTTGTTCTTTTCAAATATTTGTAAAACATTTTATCAAAATTGTCCATGTGTTAAGTAACAACAAAACCATTTATACGTTTTAAAAACACAAGCCTCAATACTTGTGCACCAAGGTATACAATAAGGGCAGACATTTTTTTGGTGAATCATTAAAACCAAAACTGCAGTCATAGGCAATTTAAAAACAAACAAAAACAAAAAAATTCTTCCAGCTAACAAGTAGGTTTGATATATGGTTTCTTTTTCAAATTATGTATAAACTATTTCTAAAATTAGGCATAGATATTAAAAGTATCATGTTTGGCCAATAGCTAATGTCACCTATAAGGTCATAGCCATAATTTTTTATTTCGAACAATTAAAAAACTGAAAGAAAGCTACTATGAGCAAGGTGTGGTAGCACTGGACTGAAATTTGAACATTTGACATAGATATTATGGCTTCCAGCTTGGCGTTTCTTCCCACCCTCCCTTTCTTTCAAATTTAGAAACAATCTTATTTTACATATCAATTCCTCCATTCCCTCTCCCTCCCACCCTCCCATCCCCCCCACTGATCCCTGCAACCCACCCACTCCCCAAGAATAGTAAGGCCTTCCATGGGGGATCCTCAAAGTCTATTACATCATTTGAGGGAGGGCATTGACCCTCCTCCGTGTATCTGGCCTGAGAGAGTTTTCCTCCATAGGGAACGGGCTCCCAAAGTCCATTTGAGCACTAGGGATAAATACTGGTTTTGCTGTTAGAGGTCCCATAGACTGCCCAGACCTCCTAACTGGCATCCACATTCCGAGGGCTTGGTTCAGTCCAATGTTGGTTGCCCAGGTTTACAACTGGGATCCCTGTGCTCTCACTAGGTCAGGTCAACTGTTTCTGTAGGTTTTTCCAGCAAGGTCTTGACCTCTTTGCTCATCCCTCCTCCCTCTCTGCAACTGGGTTCCAGAAGTTTGGCTCAGTGCTTAGCTGTGAGTGCCAGCTTCTGCTTCCATCAGCTACTGGATAAAGACTAGTAGCAATTAAGGTAGTCATCAATCTCATTATAGGGGAAGGGCACCAAAGGCAGCCTCTCTGCTACTGCCTAGATACTTAGTTTGCTCATCTTTGTGGATCTCTGAACATTTCCATAGTGCCAGATTTCTCTTTAAACCTATACTGACTCCATCTATTAAGGTATCTCTTTTCTGCTCTCCTCTATTCCTCCCGACTCAGTCTTCCTGTTCCCTCTTGTTGTCTCCCTTCTCTCCTTCTCTTTTTCCTATCTCTCTCCCCTCTCCCCCCATCCCATGCTCCCAATTTGCTCAGGAGATCTTGTCCCTTCCCCCCTTTTCCAGGGGACCATGTATGTCTCTCTTAGGGTCCTCCTTGTTTCCTAGCTTCTCTGGAGGTGTGGACTGTAGGCTGATACTCCTTTGCTCTGTCTAAAATCCATATATGAGCCAGTACATACTGTGTTTGTCTTTTTGTGACTGAGTTACCTCACTCAGGATGGTTTCTTCTAGTTCCATATATTTCCCTTGAATTTCAAGATTCTATTGTGGTTTTTTTCCACAGAGTAATACTCCATTGTGTAAATGTACCACGTTTTCTTTATCCATTTTTCAGTTGAGGGCCATCTAGGTTGCTTCCAGGTTCTGGATATTACAAATAATACTGCTATGAACATAGTTGAACAAATATTCTTTTTGTATGAATGTGCATCCTTTAGATATATGCCTAAGAGTGGAATTACTGGATTCTGAGGTAAACTGATTCCTATTTTCCTGAGGAACTGCCACACTGATTTCCAAAGTGGCTGTACAAGTTTGTACTCCCACCAGCAGTGGAGCAATGTTCCCCTTTATCCATGTCCTCTCCAGCATAGATTGTCACTGGTGTTTTGATATTTGCCATTCTGGCTGGTGTGAGATGGTATCTCAGAGTTGTTTTGATTTGCATTCCCCTGATAATTAAGGATGTTGAAAACTTTTTCAGGTGTCTCTCAGCCATTTTAGATTTCTCTTTTGAGAATTCTCTACTTTTCAATTGGATCCTTTAGTGTTTTGGAGACTTGCTTCTTGAGTTCTTTGTAAATTTTGGAGATCAACCCTCTGTCAGATGTGGGATTGGTAAAGATCTTTTCCCATTCTGTGGGCTGCCTTTGTGTCTTGTTGACTGTGTCCTTTTCCCTACAGAAGCTTCTCAGGCCAGCTTGGTGTTTCTGTGGGATTCCTGGGTGTGGGAATGGGTGGGGTTTTGATTCTCTTATTTCCTTTCCTTCTGTTTGTTTGTTTTGTCCAATTCCAATGTGTTAGTTTTGTTTTATCTTTATATTTTATTATCCCTTAGAACCCTGTTTGTTTTCTAATGAGAGATGGGAAAGGAGGTGGGAGCTACCTGGAAGGAGTAGAGGGAAGGGAAACTGCAATCAGGATATATTATGTGAGAAGAAAATCTATTTTCAATAAAAGGAGAGAGGACATGAAGTTTGGAGGGAGATGTGCTGGAAGGATTGGGGGAGGAGCTGTACAGGGGAAGAAGAATGGACCTGAGTATTATTATACATTGTATACATGTATGAAATTTTCAAAGAATAAATAGGAAATATTAGTTAAGAACTTGTTGCTTTCATACAACAATAGACTAATGTTTTTTGTTTTGTCATATTCCTAGCAAAGTCACCCTCACAGGGGTGTTTTATGTGTTGATTTTTAAAGTAAGCTTAATTATCTGGGTGACTGTCTTTAAATTCTTCATAGTACCTCCAAGGATCCAAAGTACAGAAGGACACTACACGGTCAATGAGAACTCCCAAGCTGTTCTCCCTTGTGTTGCTGATGGAATCCCCATGCCTGCAATTCACTGGGAGAAAGACAATGTTCTTATAGCCAACTTGTTAGGGAAATACATTGCCCAGCCATATGGAGAGCTCATCTTGGAAAATGTTGTGGTAAGTTTAATAGAAGTGAATACAGACAGGAGAGCCAAGTGATTAGTTCACCCCCTTCTTCTTCTTGGTTTAGCTCGGAAGCATTTCCTTTAATACTGAAAGGAAATACTACAAATTCAACATAAGACTAATTTCTCTTGCATTTTGTTTTATATGCTTGGAATTAGAAGTGTGTTTGATAAAAAAAAGCTAAAACCATTAAATGGCCTCCTCCTACATGGTTGTTTTACTTTTGTGGAAAAATTCTAAGTAGTCTCAGTGCTTTTAACTATGTGTCAGGAGGATGAGATAGAAGTCACTCCTGTGGATGTCAGAAGATGCCTTGCTCAGCCTAGATGCTCGAGGGGGTGGGAGGTGTGGCGTGGGGTGGGGGCTGTGGGTGGGGGTCCTGGGTTGATCCTGCCTTACCCTTTCAGAGGAGTGGATGGGGAGTGGGTTGAGGGGAGAGGGAAGAGGGGGGAAACTGTGGTTGATATGTAAAATGAATAAAAAATAAAATATATATAATATTTTAATTAGAAAAAAAGAAAAATGCCAAAAAATGTCTTTCTCTATGTAGATTTCTAAATAACCCTTTCTAGTAATTGATTTAAAAATGGAAACTCTATGGAGCTATGCAAATTAGATGTTTAATGGTCTCAGGCATCCTGTTTGAGGTCTGTGGAACATTTGCCATCAAGCAGAAATAGCTTGATTTCCAATGTGACTGTACTTAAGAAATCTGCTTTTGGATGCAATTACTCTTCTAGAACTTGAGGGAAAAATGTTTAAAAACTGGGAAACAGTGTCTCAGTTGCATTTAAAGGATCCCATCGATAAGGTACCTTGTACAGAACACATGGGAGTCTTGAGTAATATGTAGAATTCCTTTTATAAATGATATATTTGAACATATGCTTTACTATTATATTTCCATAAAAACCAGATTTTTAACTTAAGTTGT